CGGTAATTGCTAATGCAGCATCATCAAGATTCTCACTGCACTTTGCAATACTTAGCATTGCATGTGAATCTTGATGACGCTGCATTTGCAAGAAACGACTGACGACTCACGGTCAATTTGTTGCAGATTGGTTCAAGTCACTAAGCCAGGACACAACTGAAAATGCAATAACAAAGAAAAATTTTCAAAAGAAAAAAAAAGAAATTGCACTTTTGACTCGTAAATATAAAGGAGGGATTATTTGACTAAGGTGAATATGATGGTGGAGAGGAAAATCATATTGCAAAGCTGAATACTTATATAACAGAAACCCTAATCCATTTTAGACTGAAATCAAGTCATTTATATAAAAAAGAAAAAAATAATAATTAAACATCCAGTTATAAAACAATTATAGACCACAGAAATTATGGATTTGTGTTTTGTCTGTACAGATTTTTAAGGTGGGCTCTTCAAAAGAATCTAGCAGGACTTCTTATGTTGTCGTCATCAGACATCAAAATCTACTTTGTGAACACAACAGAAGCATAAAAGATCTGATCAGTGAAACACAAGATTCCAGTGATCAATTGAAGTCAAGAAAATATACCTTATTTTCAAGATTGAGCTATAAAATACCCAGAAATGTATCCAAGAACACACAGTTACACAATAACAAGAAAAAAAGAAACAGTTTACTGGTGTCAAGACTCAAGAGCACGAGAAATAAAAAGAAGATGTGTAAGAACGAGAACGGGAGAGAGAAGGAGGGGATGGAGGCGGTTGTTGGGGGAGGATCTAAGGGTTTGGGATGTTAGAGAGCATGGAAGATGGAAGAAACAGGAGTGCAGATACACATGTTTAGTTCCAAGTACTAGGTTTATACTAAGATTTGAGCCTTCTTTGGGATACGAGAAAAAATGCCCTAATTAACTTGCTCCATGTGGAGGATAGGGTATTTAAGCTTCACCAATAACTTCGCAAGTTTTAAATTGTGAAGTACATCTCACAATGCCTAAATTAAATGCATTATCGAGGATGTTTGAACGGTTTAAAATAGTTTTTTCTTTAACTAGCTTCTCTCCTACGTATATGTATAAAAAAACTTTTTAAGTTCGACATGAATTTTGAGTTGAAGCATACCCAGTCCTTCTTTGATTCAATTAAAAAAGTTGATTTAAGTCAAAATTAATAACGAATTTTAACTATATATTTCATGGGACTCACGTAACTTTTTAAATACACTTCCATAAAATTTTATAAAAATCTGATTTTTAACTAAACGGGATTAAATTTTGTAGGTTTAGGTGAAGCATCACACTAGTGGCAAGCTAATATCGGCAATAATTAATAAAACCACATATTTGACGATCGATCTTCGCATTTATAAGTTGAGGAATTAGCAAAATCTTGAAAATCATTTGTTAAAATTCATTTTTTGAGTTAAATTATTAGAACATTTTGTAGTAGAAACTACCTCTAAATTCTCAATCACTTTTAAATAAGGAAGACTCGATCCATTTAGTGTCAAATTATTATTATTATTTACTTCAAAAGTCAATTAAATAATTAAATGGTCAACCTAGGAGTGAGGTTAATTAATTTATTTTAGACATATACAATATCTAGCACATGCAAACAAATTATTTGTCAGTCCATTATTTTTTATTTTACAAAATTCGTGTTAATGTATATAAGTTCGATTTTCTTAAAAAGTATGTGTAAACTCGAAAAATAAGAGTAAAATTTAACTAATAAATGTAGCATCTTAATGTCAATGTTCAATCTTCTTCAATTAAATAAGTTAATTTCGTTTGAAAATTAATAATTATTACTTTTCTAAAAAAAAAAAATTATTTCGCACTCAAATTTAATAATCTTAATCAAAAAATTAATTGCCCTTAGAGAAGAATCTTTTACAGGATAACCTTTTTTTTTCTTTTAAGTGCCTTCTAATATTTTTTATAACTTTATTTCATCCTTACGGTAATGTCAACATATGATAGAGAATAATTGCACATTTAGCTGCATATTTGACACGTAAAATCATTAATAATTTCATAATATTAAAGAAGAGACCTAAGTGATGAAATTTATCGTTGTTTTTACTGGAAGATCGGCT